AAAGATCCTTCCACTCTACGAAAGGTATTGGACACTGTAATGAAGCACATTCGCGCATTGAAGGCTCTAAAAAGACCCACAGATCAATGGGATGATCTGATAATACATTTAGTAACGAGCAAATTGGATCAATTGACATACAAGGACTGGGAGAATACTATTGAACGAGGTAAGTTACCAACCTTTGAGGAATTGATGCGTTTTCTGAATCAACGTTGCAGAACGATAGAGATGACTTCGCGCCAATCGAAGACAGTAGGTTCGGCGTCACAAGAAAAGGCCGCGCACCACAGAAGCACTACAGCGCACGTAGCCACTACTAAGAACGCATGCGGATTTTGCCACCAGGAAAATCATGCCGTTTATAAATGCAAGGATTTTCTAGCGCTCAATGTGGAGCAGAGGTTGAGAGAGGCAAAGACACACAAGCTCTGTTTGAATTGTTTGAGAGTTGCATCCCATCTAGCAAAGGAATGTACAGCAGGAACATGCAGCAAGCGTCACAATACGTTGTTGCACTTTGAGCAATCATCGAGGAGTCAACCTGAATCTGACGTTGGAGGCGAGGAATCTAATGCTCAAGAGACTACAAAATCCATAACGTTGGCTCCCGCAGCGATCAATCAAGGACAACAGGTTTTGCTAGCGACCGCGATGGTAAATGTGACAGATGTCAAAGGAGCAACTAGATCAATTCGAGCACTGTTAGACAACGGATCTCAGTCTTGTTTCATCACAAAGGATTGTTGCAAGGAACTTGGACTCAAGCGTCAGGACACAAATATTCCTGTTTGTGGATTGGGAGAGCATTCCGTACAAACAAGAAGCATGGCAAAGATTATCATACAATCGCGAACTACAGGATACAAGAAGAGATTGAATTGCCTAGTAGTCGACACTATTACGCAAAAGCTTCCGATCAGCAGAATAAGCAGAAGTCATTTACAAGTACCGGACGGCATCACGTTAGCGGATCCGCAATTTGATCAACCTTCCAGGATAGATTTATTGTTGGGAGCCGAAATATTCTTCGACTTGCTATGTATCGGCAGGCTAAAGTTAGCGGATAATCAACCAAGTTGGCAAAAGACACTGCTTGGATGGATCTTGGATGGTCTCTGGGGAGCTCACTACTGCAGGACGACACCCGAAGATTACTGTTTGCAACCTAGCCATAAATGATCAGTTAAATGCTAGCCTCACAAGGTTTTGGCAACTTGAAAGCTGCAACACAATCAACACGAGAACTTTGGAAGAGCGTGCGTGCGAGATTCAATTCATGGAAACGTACAAAAGGAATCTGAACGGTAGATTTGTTATAACGTTACCAATTAAAATGGACGTGCTCCAACGTTTAGGGGATTCCAAGGAGATACCCAGATAGCCAGTGTGAGGACAAATTGCTTTCACATTGCTAAGAAAGATGTTAGCATTTTGCTACGCATCTATGTCGTCCATTGTGCTGTTGTTTGTTAGCATTTGATGTCGGAAATAAAAC